GTGCCAATTAGTCTACAATCAAATAATAGCTGATAGGGTGCTTGCCTTACAGGTAGCTGACCCAGTTCAATTCCTGGCACCACATATGGTCCCCCGAGCCCTGCCAAGCAGGAGTGATCTCTGAGCACAGAACCAGGAGTCTGCCTTGAGCACCAACCAGGTGTGGCCCCAAAACCCAATAAACTAAAATAAATGGTTTCAATAAATTGGCTTCAACCTTTACCATTCTGAAAAACTGAAAACTGGGAGTGGAAACTATAATACCTGAAAAATCAAGAATGAATGACCAAACTTTGTTTTTGTTGTACTTTTGTTTTTGTTTGCTGTATTATTACTCCAGCCCCCACTTTGTTGTTCTTTTTATTTTCTTGCTCTGAAACACAGAAAGACTATTCAGAGCTTAACGATCTGAACCAGCTGTTAGGTGGAACCCAAGGTCAACCCCACCCACCGTCTGCCTGAGCCTCAGCCAGTGAGCCAGGAGGGGTTTGGCTGGGCTCTGCAAGGCCTCCCCGAAGGTCATTAGCCAAACATCTATCTCCTAGACTCCCCACAGGTACAATATTTTAGAAGCAGAGCAAATTCGTCCCCCCAATTCCAAATAAACACTCCCAAACAACTGTCCCATTTGAAATTACCTATTTGGATGATGTAAGTGCCACAAAGATTTTCTGACATGTCACAAGTGTCTCGGCAACCAAATAACCGTCTTTTCCTCACTATTTTAAAGTCCCTGAAAACAAAAACGCCCAAGTCCCTAAAAGCCATCTCTGGGGCTGGAGCGATAGTATAATGGGGAGGGCATTTGCCTTGCCGCAGCCAACCTGGGTTCGATCCCTGGCATCCCATATGGTGCCCCAAGCACCACCAGGAGTAATTCCTGAGTGCAGAACCAGGAGTAACCCCTGTGCATCGCCAGTGTGACCCAAAAAGCAAAAAAAAAAAAAAGCTATCTCAGGTGTCACTGTGATTAAATTTAAAAACGGTCCTGCCTCAACTCTACTCAGACCGAAGAGACCAGAATCCTTTGAAAATCTCTGGGGAATATATAAACCCTGTATAAACCTTCCACTCAACAAGAATCCCCATACCCTCCCAGAACTACTCCCAATAACTACCTTGTTTAGGGAGACAAAGGAGTTATTAGTATTTTTGTTGTGGGTTTTTATTGGGGGAGGGTTGTCTGGCGAGGTGGGGGTAGCAAACGCAGCAGCGCTGGGCGTCATTACTGAATCAGGGTCAACTGCATGCAAGGCAAGTACCTTAACCCCTATTCTCTCTCTCTCTCTCTCTCTCTCTCTCTCTCTCTCTCTCTCTCGCCTCCAAATGGGATTTTTTTTCCTGCTCAGAAGAGAATTTAGACAAAATGAAGTATGCAATCTGAGCTTTTCTCCCCCTGGTTCTACAGCATCTGTACAATGTGGCTAGTTATAACTGGTAACACCATTGATCAGCTACATAAAACTCTACATAAATCCCACCCACGGGTAAAAACAGGAGGCCAAACTCACTGAATCCCACGTCACTAATTAAGGCACCTACACCACTGGGGCTAAGACAGCAGTAAAAAGGCTGCGGGTTCCTATTATAGCCTGCTCTAACTTGTTCCTCCAGATCAATGTAGAAATAGCAGCAATTTGCTCTTCGAAGTTCCTCTCCAGGAATAAAAAAGGCTACATATTCCTGGAATGCCTCTTCGCTCACAAAGCAGAAGACGCACCTCTTGTAATCACTGCACTTTGTTCATTTGGAGGGTGTGAGATAAAACTAGATAATGCCCAGAAAGTGCTGGCTGAGAACCTGGTACATGACACGCCCAGAAAGTAAACCAAGTTACTAATTGTAAAACAAAATGAAACAAAATAACCAAGACAAACCCAAAGTAATACAAATACAAAAGAATGGTCTCTGGATACTTATTAATTTACTCAGAACAAGGCAGATTAAAGAGAGACCAAGATCCCAGCCTACTCCACAGTGTAGCAATCCTCTAGTTTTCTCCCAAGGAGACCCTTGCTAGCACCAATGCAGAGCTTCCCACACTTGCACAGGTATTCATCACTGTATCACTGACATCTCGTTATTCAGCGATTTGCACAAGCGGGCACCAGTAACGTCTGCATTCTTCCTAGCCCTGAGATTTTAGCAGCCTCTCCTTACTCCTCCTTCCCAACGGTGCCACATTGGAGGCTCTTTCAGGGTCAGGGGAATGAGACACAGGTACTCATACCCACCAACAAACCCAACTCCCAATCACTGAGGAGCTGAGTGTTTGAAACAATGAGAATAAAAATGCAATAGACCTGGAAGAATTTCCAGAAAGCACCTTGGCATGGGGCACGGGAAATTTTTGCTAGCATATTTAAAACACTCTAGACAACTGTTGTCAGTTGGAGGAGAAAGCAAGCCCAGAATCTCAGCAACCTAACAAGACTAATCTTTCTGTCACAGATCACGCCCTACATGCATGCACCCGATCTTTACATTTCAGGCTACAGCCAGGGATTATCCACTGGCAGAGTTCATGTCTCACATATATGAGGCCCTAGGTTCCATTCCTGGAAGACCAAAAAGAGAACAATTTTGCCTTCTGTAGGCTGCCCCCAGCAATCTTGAGTTAGCTTTGCTGTTTGGATGCACAGATGTGGTTTCCCTCCCGGTACAAAACCATTTTCACCATAGCAGGTAAATAAGCAGAAAATTCTGGGCGTTTTTGTTTCTTGTTTTTTAGGGGGCATGTTCAACCTGGCAATGCTCAGAGGCTACCTTCAGTTCCTTGCTCTGGAGTCACTCCCCATGGTTCCTGGGGGATCATGCAGGGGTAGAGTACCTCCTGCATGCAAAGTAGATGCACAAGTCCTTCAAGCTATTTCTCTGGCCCAAGGGAATTTTGTTTTTTAATGGGGCCAGAGCAATACTTCATACAGTGGGCAGGGCATTTGCCTTGCCCATGGTCAACCCAGATTCAATCTCCAACACCTTATGATTCTCCCAAGCATTGTCAGGAATGATCCTTGAGCACAGAGTCAGAAGTAAGCTCTGAGCACCGCCAGATGTGCCCCCGCCCCAAAAAACAAAATATTTGAGGCCAGAGAAATAGCACAGTGGGTAGGGCGCATATCTTGCACACAGCCAACCTGTGTCTGATCCCCAGCATCCTGTATGATCATATGGTTCCCCAAGCACCACCAGGAGTAATTCCTGAGTGCAGAGCTGGGAGTAAACCCTATGCATTGCTGGGTGTGCGCAACAAAAGAATTAGATGATAAAATGGGTAATACTAACTCCAGAATAGAAGATGCATTTGTAGCATTTGTAAGACTGCGTGGCTGAGAAGGAATGTTCACAGACCTTTAGATTTCTTTTGGGAAGTGGGGGAGGAAGACTCCCAAACACTGCTCCAGGAACCTGCGAGGCACTCCTGGTGACTCTAGGCCAAATGGGCAGGTGGTTCAGTGTAAACACCCAAGGATGCAATGTTGTAATGGTTCTGTAGTACTGGGAACAACCTGAGCCAACCTGGGGAAGCTCAGGGGCCTCCAGGGTGCTGGGGGAGCAAGGAAGTGGGAAACAACATGTGAGCCAGGATAAAAAGTAGGGGTAGGCCTAAGCACGTTCCCTTCTGAAACCCCTGTACTACCCACCTGTCCCCTGAATTTAAAAAAAAAAAATTTTGCATTGTGCCTTCTCAACATGTAAAAGACTAGGCCATGTCTGCACTGAGTGGCTAAACTCTGTATGTTTTTGGAGACAGAAAGGGAATTAGTGTGACAACTCTTCAAGTTGTAAAACATCAATCCACAATTCAAATGACGCTAAGCAAAGGGCAAAAACAGCTCAGTACCTTAGAGAAAGTTAATGCTCTATCTCTTACTATTTGGCTTATTTTAATAGGTGTAAGTTTTTATAGCAATGCTCTATTCCTGTGAAAGCGGTATGTTCTCTCCAATTAAAATAAGTGCAACTTGTAAAAGTCAGTTTTCCTTTTATTTAATACATTCTAGTCAAATAGTAACAGCAGTAAATAAACACTTTGAAAAACAGGCAGATATCCCCCAATATCCGGAAGAAAATTAAGTCCAAGTATTTTTCTACATGGTAGAAGGGAGACAACTGCTGATGTCCATGGCGAGACAATTCAAGGACAACTTGGACATATCTAAAGCCATTTCCAAATCAATGGCAACAGGCTGGGACACAGCGACTTCAGGGATAAAATATCTCTACATGGTTTCATTAACAAGGGTCGAGTTGCACCTGGGTGGCACGACATTCTAGTCTTTAGCCTTAGGGGAAAAGACACAGTCTTTCCCGTTTGCACCAGTTTGAAATAGTTCTGAAATAAGGCTCCCTTAAAATGGATTTACTACAGTACTCGTCGTCCACATGAGAGAGGTCATACATGTAGTAAGAAAGACAAATACAGGCTTTCACGGTCACTTTTTTTTTGGTTGATTTGGTTAATTGCATAAAATGAAGGATTAAATACAAGCATATCTGTTTAACAAGACTCCTAGGTACATCAGAATGCAAAATATAAACTGTCCTAACATACTCGGAACACCAGGCCTGGAAGGCTGGAGGGAAGCCCGTGCCAGCTTGGGTCCTTCTCTATCACCAAAGCTCAAACTCAGCCCTAAAAGAAGGAACCTCAGGAGGCAAAGGCATTCGATCACGTGCTTCTTCAGCCTTGCCTTGGGAGTATTTTCTTTATAATTTGAAAGAATCAACTGGTCTTGGTTAGGCTAGGGGCAAGGAAGCTTCACTGGGAAGAAAAATACTGGGATAAGGGTGTGGGGGGAGGAGGTGGAGGTGGGAGAGAGGGGGCTTTAACTACCTAACTACCTCATCACGCACTAAGATTAGATTGACTTCAGCTGTTCTTAGAATTCCTTGTCGTTATCCAAAGCAGTCACTCGTGTTTTGGTTCTCTTTTATATAGCTGCATTCCAAGAGAGACCCTACATGAGGCATGTTTAGAAAAAGAGAAATGCTTATACCTGGAATTTATATTCTTCCAAGTAATCTTTGAGTCTTGTTGGTAAAGGCAGTCCCCAGATGGTGCTGGTACATTTGTTAATGGTCAGTCTACAGAGATGCTGCAGAGGTGGTGCAGACGTGTAGAGTGGTTTGGTCAGGTAAAGGTGGACGGTGCCGTTCCGGGGGGCTTCTGGGCCTGTCCGCTTATCCTTGCACATCTGAACATAGTAGTCAATCAGATGAACCACACTGTCAAACTGCTTAAGCTTGGACTTGACACATATGATAGAGTCCAATCTGAACTTCCCATCTTGGTACTCGATCCGCAGATTAGTTGGTCCAGCTGACGTTTTAACAGATATTGTTAGTAGGTAGTCTGAATGCGAACTATCTCTAATCAAGAAAGTTCCTTCTCGCGCGTCTTTTAATTTCTCTTTGGCTTCATTAACAGTCATACTTCCCCAGTACCAACCTGGGTTTTTGTTCAAAAAGAAAAAAGAAAACAGGATAAAAGTTATTATAAAGAACCTTTTCTTTTTCTTAAGTAGAGCAACTATTCGGCAACAGTTTTCCTAGTTCTAAAAATAAGTGGGGAAGTGGAGAAAGCTTAGAGGAGGCAACCAAAACTACAAATATTAACGAAAATGTGAGCCCACTTTAAACTGCAGTTTTCTTTTTACAAAAAAAGAAAAGAAAAAAAACTGCTCCTGTTCTGTAAATTAGCTTTTTTTTTCTTTCTAACAAAAGAAAATCTGCGATCTGAGGCACTGATGGGGCGCTTCCAACACGGTTGAAATTTAAAAGTAAAATAGAAATGAATACGAGGTCGGAAACAAAAGCCATGCCTTACAACTGTGGAAAGCCCGACCTTGGTCAAAACAGGCAGCTTTGGGGGCCCCGACAACCCCGCACCCCACATCTCTCCGTTCTCGGGATGGGGAAGGGCAAGCAGCTTGTTTTTTTAATGGACAATTACAGAACAATAGCTTCTGTTTGCGTTTTTAGTTTACAACTTGCCCTATCAGCCATTGAGAAATGAGGGAAACCCCAACTGATCTTTAGCGCTTGGTGTTTACAATCTTCCCTAAACTCTTCTGGACTTTGTCCTAATCCAAAATCCAATCACTACCATCAAGTCTCCCAGCATGCTCGATTTGCTCCGTCTGCACCACCTCTGGGCCCATCCTGTTCGCAAAATGACCCAGGAACGATGTGTATTTTAAAAACGTGGACAGGGATCCTGTCCGCTCCCCACCCCCCACACCCCCGTCCTCCCCGCGCCCCAGTTCCTTGCTGGGATCCCTGCAAATCTGCCTGTCGCTCCAAGGGAAAGCATATGGCCTGGCGTGGAAAGAGACTCGCATGGGAGGGGAACTTTCCCCACTCCCTCGTGCTACCAAAAACTTTAACTCTGCCTCCAACACAGGCTTATGGGATCCAGATTTACGGAAAACCTGCACGGTCGGCCTGAATCTTCTTAAAAAATTTTTTTAATTCCTCGAGACCCCAGCAAGCGGCACACACCCCCAGGACGCCCGTGGCCGCCAGCAAGTGGCGGGGCGCGCCGCCCAAGAAGGCCGCGCTAGCCCAGTCACTGCGGTGGTGGTGGTGGTGGCGGCGGCGGCGGCGGCGGCGGCCGCCTGCGTGGCAACCGCTCAGTCCCCGAGCTGGGCTGGCCACGCGAGCCGGAGGCGGCGGGAGCGGTTCCCCGGCACCCCGCAAAAACAGGAAGGGAGAAAGTAAGAGGTCGAGGTGCCGGAGGCGGCCGAGCACTTTCTGCAGCCGGGGAACCCGAGCCCCGGTTGCCACGGCCAACTAGGAAGGTCCCAGCAGTCCCCCGAAGGCCACTTCCAACTGAGGAGCCCTTTCCGAGCGCTGCCCGCCCCTAGGCCTCGCCTCCGCGTCCCACCAGCAGCACTTTCGGGGGGCCGCCGCGGAGCGCGCGGGCATGGTGTCCGCGGGCCCCTCGGGGGCAGCGGATCTTTTATCCACTCCGTCCGCCCCGTTTCCAGCAGCCTCCTGGGGGTGAGGGGTGGCGGGGGGCGGGGGGCAAGGGATCCCCCCACACACACCCGCCCCCCGCGCGCGCGCGCGCGCCCCGTCTCCCGCTCCTACCTGTTTGCCCGAGTTCCCGCAGGGCCTTCGCCAGGCGCGCCGCCTCGGGGGGCGGCTCCTCGGCCGCGCCCGCGCTGCCCCACTGGCTCCGCGTCCCTTCCGCGCCATTCCCGGACGGCTCGAGGCACCGCAGGGTCATGGGAGAAGGGTCAGCGCGGCTAAGACAGGTGGCCGCCGGCGCGGGAGGCGGAGGGGGGCGCGCGTCCTGCCCCGCCAGTCAGCGGGAAGCCCGGCCACCGTCCCTGCGGGGTCTCCGGGACGGTGCCGGAGCGGGAGGAGATGGCGGGGCGCGGCGGCTTGCCCCTCCCCGGTGCCCGAAGGGTCGACGGCTAAATCCCCCGCAGGCGCACTCACCCACAGTTTGCCTGCAAAGAAGAAGTAGAAGGGTGGTGGGGCGGGGGGTGTCAGCTTAAAGTGGGCCCGATTGGGGTGGAGACGGGTGAGGAACTGGAAAATCCCGGGGACTCCCCCCCCACGCCCCGCTTCTCTGCTCCTACACCATTCCCTCCGCCCAACATCCAACTCTAGGGCCGGGAGAACGGGAGAGAGCGTGGAACCCAAACGCAAGAGTGTGTCTGTTGGTAGGGGGGTGGGGGGGGTCGGCAGGATGAGGGTGGGAAAGCGGCTGCCTTCCCGCCCGGGAACTGCTCTCTTGCAGCCGAGAAGCGCGAGAGTCACCTGCGGGACGGCAGGGTACAAAGGCCCTGGCCAAGGACCAGTCGAAAATAATGTACAAAGGGAACAAACAACAGGCGAGACTCCCCCCGCCAAAAAAAAAAAAAAATCGAGCAACTCGGATGCCGCGTCTCCGGGAGCTCCGGGGGGGGAGAAGCCCCCCGTTCGGCCCGGCCACCCTCCGCACCACACTGGAGCCGCCCGCCCTGCAAGCCGAGGTGCGGGAGCCGCCGCATCCCCCTCCCCCGCGCTTCCCAGCGCCGGCAGCGGGCAGCGAGAGGGGCGGGGGGAGCCCCGCAGCGCGCGGCTGCAGCTCGGGGGCCCGGCGGCGGCGGCGGCGGCGCGGCCGCCGCTGATTGCCGCCGCGGGCGCTGTCGAGGAATCAGCCCGAGCGCGCGACCCGAGCAGGGGCTCCGGGCTCCGGGCCGAAGACGCCGGCGCCGGGCGCCGCGCCGCGCCGCGCCGCGCGGGACCTGCCACACGCCCAACGCGAGTACCGAGCCCTTACCTCGGCTCCGGCCGCTGCCGCTGCCTCCGCACCAGGCAGCCTCCCCAGAAGACATGGGGCGGGAGGGGCCTGGGAGAGGAGGGGTGTCGTGTCTGCCCGAGTTTTCCCCGCTGACTTTTAATTTGGGCACGAGAGGGCTTAGGGATGCCACCGGCGCCGCGGCGGGGAGCGCGCGAGTTCTGGGCGCCCGGGACGAGCTCAAGCCCGGGGAGCCATCGCCTTAGACCTCGACCCCTGGCACCCCACCCTACCCCGGACTCCGACGAGCCCCGGGGCCCAGGCAATTGCCGGGTTTAACCAAGAGGTGGGACCCGGGAGGAAGGAAGGAGCGAAGGCGGGAGGGAGGCGGGTAGGGAGGAGCAGGAGATCAGGTTATCAGGAGGGTTATTAATTTGGATGGCAGTTTAGACCAGGAGGAGGAGAGGAGGGAAAAAAACAACTCTGGAGAATTCCCGGCGCCGAGAAGGAGCGGGGAAGAAGAAAGCGGGAGCAGCAAGAGCGCCCGGCGCGGAGCGCGACCGCGGTTCGGACTCCTCTCCCCGGGGCTCTACCCGGCGGAAGCCCAGGCCGACCGCCGCGCCCCGCCGCCCTCCCCAAACGACCCTCCTCGGGGCGGAGCCTTCGGGCTGCCCCGGACCGGTACCTGGCGCCAGTCCCGACCCGAGCTCCGCCGGCCCCCGGGCTTCGGGCGCGGGGGATCCTGAGGCTGTGCGCCCGGAGCCCCGGCGCACCTCGTGTGCCGCCCGCGCAGCGCCGGAGGCGGCGGGCGCGGAGGCTCATGCTTCAAGGGAAGCCCAAGGCCCGCGAGCCGCAGCGGCGGCGGCGAGACTTGGCAAGAGTTAAACGTCTGTCCCCGGAGCGCCGTGCGCGCGCGACTCCCCGGTCCGACGCGCCTCCCTCCTCCCCGCCTCCCTCCGCGAGCGGCGCTCGGCGCGCGCGCCCCGCCCGGCTGCTGCTGCTGCGGAGGCCGCTTTCCAGGAACTTTCCAGGAATTCGCCTCACGTGACCGCCGCCCCAGCTACCGCTTTAAAGAGGCTCCGGCGCTCCGGCGCCGGCTGCAGGCGAGACGGGGCTCTGAGCGCTCGCTCGGGCGCCCGCCCGCCTGGGAATCCGCCCTTTTCTGCCCCCCCCCCCCGCGTGTCCCCCTCCCAACCCCACGCCGGGGGGGAAAAAAATAATAAACGCTCCGAAGAGAAGCACCCGCAGCCCGACGTTTGGGAAGCCGGAGCTTGCCGCCCGCCAGCCGAGTCGGGGGAAGTGGTGGCTGGAGGGGGGGAAAGGGCTCCACGCTTGAGCGAATAGCGTCTCCCCCTCCGCTCGCTGCTGAGGTTGAGGGATGGCATTCCATCCCCACGACCCTCCACGACCCTCCTTTACCGGGAGGGGCGGGGGCGCTAGCTGGCCTAAGGGGGCCGAGTGGCGGTGCCCGGGAACTCCCCCTCCCGCTTTAAGACACAGAAAGGAGGCGTGCAGCGGGCCGCTCCCCAGCGCCCCCTCCCCACGAAGCTAGAGCCCCCCGCCTCCCCGCCCCGGGCCCAATCCTAGAAGGCTGGCGGCGGGCGGGAGCGGCGCCTCCTTAAGCGGCGCGGGCTGCCCGCAGTCCCCTCCCCCTGGCCGCGCCGCTCCCGCCCCGCCCTCTCGCGGCTCCGCCGGCTCCTTCCGGCCTCGGGGCGCCCGGGCCGGGCTCACCTGCGCCGACCTCGGCGCCGACACCCGCGGCCGCAGCCACCCGCCATCCCCGCGGCCGCGGCGCGGACGGACGCGGTGCCGCAGTCCGGGGAGCGCCGCTCGCCAGCCCGCGCGGGTGGCGCCTGGAGACCGGAAATTCTGGACGATTCCCCACCTTCCACCACCACCACCACCACCAATTACTACCATTTCCCCCCACGCCGGGGAGCCTCACCTTTTCCCAGTCTAAGTGGGAGACCACCTGGCCTCGCTTGAAACTCATTGTGCCCGCACAGCACCCTGGAAATGTGACCTACTTTAAATGTGACCTACTTAAAAAAAAAAAAAAAAACACGGGAAAACTGGATCCACATTGTCGATGACCGTTTCCCCCCGCCCCCAAATACTATTCCACGGCACCACTGCCGAAAAGCTTGCAAGGTCTATGGGGCTCTGAGTTGAGACCAGCGGCGAGGGGAAGGCGGGGAGGGATGGGGAGCGCGCGGCTCCCGCGCGGCTCGGCTGGGCGCAGAGGTTCTCAAGGCTTGTGTGGGGCGCCCCCTGCCGGCCCTGCGCAGAAGCGGAAAGCTGCACCCGGAGAATGAGGTGAGTAGCCGGCGCAAAGGTTTTCCCCGACCTTTGTCTCACGTTGGAGTTGGTACTCCTCCACGGTGCTAGGCAGGTGTGCCGGGGCAGAGGAGTTTCTCCGCGCACCCAGAGTTTTGTCCTCGAAGAAGGAATCGTGTGCACGGAGACACGATTGGTTTTTAATCGTCTGTGGAAGGCAGGGCAGAGCTCATGAAAGCCCCGTTAAAACCCTCTCTGTAAGTCATAAGCCACGGAATCCTTTTGTTCGGGTTATTTACGATTATTTGGACGCTGGACCTATTCTATAAAATTAAGAGACCGAACCCCAGGTCGAGAGGAGGGACGAGGATGAAGAATGCGAAAGCAGATTTCAGGAGGAATGGAATCCTGTGTATTGCCTGAGGCTCAAACCTAAAGAAAGATTAAGGGGAGGGAGGTTGGGAGTTGGGGAGGGGGTGGGTACAAAGGGGGCGCGAGTGTTTCAATCCCTCTGAGCACCACCAGATAAGGCCCAAAAAAAAGATAATTACAGCTCCTTGGGTTCACAACGCTTCACTCCACATGGCTCTGAGGTCCAGAGGAAAGGGAAATACACTCATTTGTAGTTCAGACTAAAACATGTATGTATACTTAGGATTTTTTACAGTGATAAAATCATTTCAAATGAATCTACCAGCAGCCCCTCACAATGTGTTCTCCTGTTTTCTCCACTGACCTTCGCACCAATGATTCCATCTTCCTGAAATGCCTCTCTGAAAAGTGTGTGCCACCCCCATGGTTCAGGGACCAAGTTACCTCCACACCATGTGAAATCGCTATCACACAGAGTGCCCACCAAGATTACTATTACTGTATGCCAAAGCAGGGATTTTTTTTTTTTACTTTTTGTTTTCAAAGTGTTCCTTGTCATTGGCCAAAGTGTTGTTGGTCTTCTGATACCCAAGAAACTCACCTGGGAGCCACTTAGGAAAATGTGGCTGGGATCGCAAAATGTCTCAGGGATCAATGGAGGCAGGGCAGGTAGATATGAATTGGTATCTCATTATAATTATTATGAAATTATGTGGCAATGACCTAAAATAATTTGTGTGTGCGTAAAACCAGAACGGAACGAGCAATAAGCAGCTGTTGGGGATGGCAGGAAATGGGTGACTTTTTCCATTGGGCTTCTCATAATGCAGTTCCAGTATGTTGGATATAGCTACCATTTCCCCAAACTTGCTGTGGGTCAGTGTCTTCAACCGCTCTATGGGAGCTGGAATGTATAGAAATTCTAACTCAATCCTAATGGGATGTTGTCCCGAACTCCAGAGCTAGCCCCCAGCATTTCCCTCAGGTGCTAATGTGCATCTCCAATTGAACAGGTCCCCAGGGCTGGAAAGATAGTGCAGGGATTAAGACATTTGCTTGCACACTGCTAAAACGGTTCAATCACTGCCTCACATATGGTCTTCTTAGCACAGCTAAATGTAGCCCTTTAACCCGGCTAGGTATGGCCAAGGGAAGAAAAATAGATTCCAACTGAGACTAAAGAGCATCCATTCCCCCACCACACACACACACAAAGCCTTACCTCTAAACTCTACTTCCTAAAATATCTATCAGAATCTCTGTGCTCAAGCCAAGAGTCTAAAGTCTTGACTGCCTTTTCTCATGGACCCCACCTATCCTGTGACTGGTTCATAGTAAAGTCAGAATGGAAACATTGGTCTGTCTTCATTCACATCAGCCCAAACCACCTCCATCACTACCCAACTTAACTCTGGCCTCTGGCCTGGCCTCCATGGCCCTCCCCTCCCACCAAAGATCTTCCTAAGACAATGATTGTTTCTGAGAGTGATCATGTTTGAACTCACTCTTCTGCCCCAACCTAAACTCCTGCATTGCTTCCAAGTAAAAGACAAAAACTCTTCACTCCCAAGTCCGTACAAGATCCAATGCCAGGGGCTGGAGCGATAGCACAGCGGGTAGGGCATTTGCCTTGTATACGGCCGAGCCAGATTTGATTCCCAGCATCCCATATGGTCCCCCAAGCACTGCCAGGAGTAATTCCTGAGTGCAGAGCCAGGAGTAACCCCTGTGCATCGCTGGGTGTGACCCAAAAAGAAAAAAAAAAAGATTCAATGACAGTTGCTTCTCATCTTATTTTTTCCTGTTCTCTTGATTCAAGTCATGCTCCACTTGTTTCCTCTCCATTGCTGTTGCCTCTACCTAGTATGATCTTCCTTCAGATTTCTTTATTCTTTAAAATTTATTTTGGCTTTGGGGGTCATACCCAACAGTACTCAGGGCTTTCTTACTCCTGGCTTTGTGGTCAGGGATCACTCCTGGCAGATCTTAGGGTGCTATGTGGGGTACTAGGTATCGAACCCTGGTTGACTGCATGAAAGGCACACAACCTACCTGCTGTCCTATTGCTCTGGCCTCTCTCCCTTCAGATTTCTGCATGGTTTACTCTCTCACTTTCTCAATTCCTGACTAGTGTCACCTTCTTGGCGAGACCTGACCTGATCATTCTATTCACAAGGGACCCCCCCCCCCCCACACACACACATATGTGTCTCTCTCCTCCCAACTCTAGCTCTTTCCTGAACTCTGCGATCTAATCCAGCTGGGGTTTTATTTAGTGGTCCAGTTTCCCATCTTTCTTCCCAGCTAGGACGAGGACATGCATTTCTGTCTCAGGGCTTCCAACTCTATTTTATGTTAGTGAAAATAGAGCCACACCTGACAGTGCTCAGGGGACCATATGCTGTGCCATTGATCGAACCTGGGTCAGCCACATACAAGGCAAGTGTCCTACCTGCTGTGCTATCCCTCTAGCCTCTCCAACTCTGTTTTAGTCCCATGAATCATTCTAGCATGTCGTAGCATCCTACATAATAGGTGAGTGAATGCAGGGATACTTGCATAGCACAGTTTTCCTGTTAAGCTGTCCAGGTGTAAATTGTCACTCTGCTGATGCTTGCTACATCTATGATCTTAGGCAAGTTGTTTGGCCTCTTGCAGAGCTAATCATGGGACTATTATAAGAATTAAATGAGAAAACCTATGCCAAGTACTTTGGCACTAAACAAATGGTCAAGATTGGCCATTCTTTTCTATACTGCCCTTTAACTCTTTAGGACTTCGGCTTTTTCACCTAGTGAGGAAGTATATTTTCTACCTGCAGCCTCCTCCTCTCACTGCCTGGGAATTTAGAGTAAATTCCTCAGAATCTCCCTTCAGCTTGAATTTTATAATGTAAAAATAATATATATATATCACTTGTGTCACTTGTCATCCCATTGCTCATTAATTTGCTTGAACAGGCACCAGTAACGTCTCCATTTGTCCCTGTCACATGCTAGTGTAGCCCAATGGCACCTACATAGGATATA